ACATCGCATTAATGTGAAAAATAAGACAATAGAAAAAAATGCCCTCACTGATGCTATCTCTTAGGAAAAATTTAACTATAAAGATTGCACAAAAATTTTCTTCACCTTTTTGAGCTTGTTTTCGCATCTCCGTATATGCCGTTCATAATTTGCTGCAGATCAAATTGGAATATACCTTTGTGATGCCATTTATTGTTATATAATGTCCTTTACAACAGTTATTGCACGTATTGCACCAACAGATTGATTTGTGATCCATGCGAATGTGATCAACCACTCTGGCGAAAACTCGCCGAGCGTGGCAACCGTGCGACTTTGTCTGGAGGCTCGTCGCTACAAGCCAATCAGGAAGAGGCCGACACAGCGCCATGTCTACCGATCACGCGTTGATCACGAATCAACCACTGTTTACGATTACTTTGTAGCTTCGTTAGATACACTTTAAAATACTAGGGATATAATGTAATTAATCTTAAAAAGCCTCAAAAGGGCTATCACCTGGAAGCCGTTCCATTCCCAGCCCAGCCATCAAATTTTCTATTGTTGCGTTCGAATAGTCTCCTTATCTCAATTTCAAGGAGTCACATTGTGAATTGCTGCTTTGATTCCTGCATTCATCAAAAGTATATAAAGTCTACAAATTAATACCATAGATATATACTCGTATTCATAGCAACGTTTCGAAATATTGCTATTCTTGTTTGAATGCTACCTTGCAAACGGTACCCGCAATATGAAACAATGTCGTTTTATGTGGGATGCTGGCAGATAACAATTCCATAGTAAAATCTTTACTATTGCGCATCTGGTTAGCAACGTGTCAGAGACACCTCGAATTAAAATCGTAAAGCAAACAGAAAACAACCGTTATGGAAGAAACATAAACTTGCGGGAATACCGTAAAATATGCTTTTACATCCCTTTATACCATATACGAGGGTCGTGTGAATATTAGGCAGGTAGCAGCAGTGGCACCTATTCGTTTTAATGCCTCGGCAACCCTTAAACTTTACAAACACGTATGCGTTGACTATCATAGTCGGGTTATGAAATGAGATTTTATGGGACGTCTTCAGTATATCGTGACATTTTGTCATAAGGTAGTTGAGAAATATGGTCCGCTATACAGGGTGGCCGATATGTAAGTGACTGTATTTTGAATATTTGTGATATGAAATAAAATACGTCCATTTCTTTCATCTTAATCTTTTATTGAAACGTAGCAATTATAATATTGTATAAATAAAAAGTCATGACGCTTTTTTTGTTTATTTTAAGGCCATTTTATTCATATACAGCACAAACTTCAATCAATAATGTATTGCCCATTTTGATCGATGACCTTTCGCCATCTTTCAGGCAGCTTTATAATTCCTCGCTCGTAGAAGGATTTGTCTTTACCGGCAAAAAATTGAACAAGGTGCTGATGTACACCTTCATCTGAAGTAAAGCGTATTTCTCGCAAGGAATTTTGAAGCGACCGAAACAAATGAAAATCAGATGGGGCAAGATCAGGCGAGTATGCTGGATGTGGTAACACATCCCATCCTAAGTCCAATAACTTTTGACGAGTGAGCAAACTTGTGTGCGGTCTCGCGTTGTCATGGTGGAACACAACTCCTTTGCGATTAATGAGCTCCGGACGTTTTTGCATGATGGATTGTTGCAAACTGTCCAATTGCCGACAATACACAGTTGTATCGATGGTTTGGTTCTTTGGCAGGAGTTCGAAAAACACGATCCCTTTAAAATCCCACCAAACAGAGAGCATCACCTTTTCCTGATGACTCTCTGCTTTCGCGATCGTGTTACGCGTATCTACACTTCGGGACCAAGACCGTTTGCGAACCACATTGTTGTAATCAATCCACTTTTTATCTCCCGTTATCAAGCGCTTTAAGAAAGGATCGTTTTCCTCACGTTTAAGGAGCATATCGCATATCGTCAAATGAACCTCTCTCAGTTCGTGTGGTACCCAACGATCGAGTTTGCTTACGTATCCCAGTTTCTTCAAATGGTCGTGAACGGTTGAATGATGGATTTTTAAGGTTTCTGCAATTTCCCGTGTGGTGTAATGTGGGTTTGCTCCTACCAATGCCTTTAATTCGTCACTATCCAACTCAGTAGGCCGCCCTGATCGAGGTGCGTCATGGATATCAAAATCCCCATCTCGGAATTTTTTAAACCATCTCTGGCATTGCCGTTCTTGTAGTGCATGTTCTCCATAAACCTTTCTCAACTTTTCACACGCTTGTCTTGCGTTCTTGCCTTTGCGGAAGTAATACAGCAAAATGTGACGAAAATGCACAGTTTGGTCGTCCATCTTCAACGTCCTCTAAAATCGACGAGACTCAAATAAATCACTTAATTTTTTGGTGCAAATGAAGCTTGAAGTGTCAACTGTCAAACTACACAATCAACATACAAATGTCATTGACTCACGTACTTCCAACCATGCAATTGCATACTTTGTTGCATATACGTCATGACTTTTCCGACAACCCAAAATATATCAATATGTAGTGACAATGTTTTGTACGGGTAAATACCCGCCTTATGCGAGTACTCTATGTTAATTTGCTTTGTTCGTACAAAAAAATATTATTATCATTTTTATTATGTTTGAAAGATAACACTGATAAACACAGGATTTGTGACATCTTTTGCACGTATCTTATGTATTTTGGGACCCTTAAATCAAATCTAAAAACAGAATTTTTCTATCATCCACACGTATCCGGTAACATCTACTTTTATGAATTACAATACGTAGCATCTCGGCGTTTATGCGATGACGCGCATATATAATGTTAAGACTTGTCTATTCCTCTTTATTATGTGCGAGCTCTATGCTTACAGAGCGTATTGAGTTTAGTAGTAGACTAATAGCAGCCAAGTCAGTTACGTTTTCTATGTTGAACAGTACTGAGTGATTCTGAGTACTGTTAATTTTTGTTAAAGCGGTGTGTTGTTTTCAGTTTATTATGATCGAGACTAGCTTCATGGACAGTGACTAGAATTTGTGTAAATAGTTTTTGTTATGTGTGCGGAGAGCTAACTTTTAAATCCCAAAAACCTAGATATTAATTAAGCTCGCATTACTGTATTGTCGGCGACTTTCAAAGTCACTAGGCTGCAGTTCTTGGGTTAACCGTATTTTAAATAGTGCATAATGACGTGCGACGAATACCCAGTTCTTGAGAACGATGTCTGGTAGACGTCTGCGGGCGCTCCACTCTTGAAAAGTCTTCAACTGCACTTGTTTGTCCAAATATCCGCACCGACTGACGAATCATGTTGACACTGGGCACATTACTTCGACCGCAGTCTTGTCGTACCTTCCGAATCGTCGCAACAATCGACTGTTATTTAAGTAAAGCGTTTTAACAATACCGACGCGTTGTGGGATCGTGTAGCGCTTCATTATGAATTGGAAACATTCATGTATAATTTAGATCAGTCAGTTATACATTGGCAACCCTGTATTTTACACGCCCAGGAGGAATGAGACGGCGATGCGATCGCAATATCTACACGGCCCATAAAAAAAACCGTGTCATGCGTTTCCGTCTCGGTATTTGTTTGAAAGCCCCTGATTTTGTACAACCTGAAAAGTACTTCTACAGCAGATCATAAGCTTGTATAAATACAAAAAAAAACGAAAGTTTATTTAAAAAATGCCTCAATTCTTTTAGATTTTTATTTAACTTTTGCAAATGAAAACAATTTTTTTTTTCTATTTATATTATTCTACTAAGGCAAACTAGTACTTATATTTATCTCTTATACTAAATAAGTGCATCATTCTATTCTAACAATAAAAACATCCATAGCCAGGAGACAACATGTTCTCGGACGGGATTCGAACCCAACTCGCGGCGACTAGCTTATTAGACACTAGGCACTACGCCAACACACTGTCTGCACTGCAGTGTAATCCAACAATCTGACAATCCTCTCGCCATATTCGCGAGAACAGGTGAGATATTGAGACACCGCTTGGGACACCTCGAATTAAAACCATAAAACAGACACAAAGCAACCCACATAAACTCTGTAAATAGCGAAGCACCAGTAAAAATATTGTTTTATGTCCTCATGAACCATACACCGGCACCATAAACAATTGTCCGTGGGGCGTAGTATACCGAATGGGTAAAAAATGAAAATGTAAGCTTAATGTTCCGGCGAACATATTTTTGTGGCGTGATAAAATGGAAAAGTAGTAAAATGTGAGACGCTGCTCGCAAATAAATTGTGACATATGAGGATGTTCGAACCTGGCGCCGCTGCAAAATGAAAAATGAGATTCTTTCAGGGGTGACTTCATGATAGGAAAGAATAAGGATGAAGGAACACCGCCATTTTAACAACTCTCCCATAAGTAGCCAAAAAAATGATTCTCGGTTAAATAATAATAATAATATAATAATAAATGACTTTATTGAATACAACAAATAATCTTTTTACAAAAGTAATTTAGAAAAAAGTACAGAATACATTGCCTAATATTGACGCAAGTCTAGCTTAAAACTACTCTACTTAACCAAAATAAGACAAAAAAATAATAATAGTAATAAGTCCTCAAACAGCAATACAGAAGAATCATAATAATAATCCCGTGTTAACACTAATTGGACTGAAAGTAAATTGAAATTTCAACAAGATATTAATTAATACTGGTCACTATAAAATTTGGTTACTGGTTACTATTGAATTTGCTTGACAAAGAAGGTTGTTCTGATTTGTATTTAGCAAATATTTCCTATATTGTATTTTGAAACTTGAAAGAGGAAGATTAAGAAACTGGTTGGGAATTGAATTAAATTGTTTAACAGCACTGCATGAGAATGAACGTTGAAACAATGCACTAGCGGAATAGTTAAGTTTTTCAAATATCATACATTTATATCATGATCAGAATGTCGGAAAATTAAGCGTTCTCTTATAGAATCAGGTGAACCTGGAGTGTTGATAGTTTTTAATAAAAAACTAGAAAAATGGAGAGTGCGGCGCTCATTCATTTTGAGCCATTTAATTTCTTTATACAAATGAGATATATCATCAAACATACGCAGACGATAGATAAACCTGAGGCACGCATTTTGTACCTCCTGAATACGACCTCTACTTGCCTGATCTACGCAAAACCCATAGAAAAAATCGCATTAATTGAGATTGGAAAGAAATAGGGATTCACAGAATTTTTTTTAGTGATCTGTTTAGTATGTGTCTGTTATTAGACAAAACTTTTAGAGAACAAAATGATTTTTGTATAAGATGATCTTTAAATCCAAGCTGAGAATCTAAAACTATAGCGAGATTTTTTCTACCCTCAACAAAATTCAGTTTTGAATTAACAGTCATTATATTGAGATTAGCTTTCAAAAACTCAGTCTTAGATTTGCTACCAAAAATCATTACATGCGATTTTTCCGGATTAGGTTTTAAGTTGTGACCTAATGAGAGATTGTACAAGGTGTTAATGTCCTCATTTATACCATTCTCGTAATATTTGTAATCCTCAAGATCAGAAAAACAATAACCCTGGGTGTCATCCGCGAAGGCCTGAACTTTACAAAACTTTAAAGACGTAAGGATATCAGACGCATAAATTAAAAATAACAAGGGGCCCAATATTGATCCCTGAGGAACTCTCGATATGATCTCCGCTTTGTCTGAAAATGTGTCATTTGATAGAAACGATTGATACCTTCCTGTCAAATATGATTTTAAAAATAAACATGCTTCCTTATTAAAGCCATAGTACTGAAATTTAGCTACCAACAATTCATGATTAATGGTGTCAAAGCCTTTTGGAAAGCCTAGAACTACCAAAAACTGAACTGACCTTTTTATCATTTGCTCTTAATATGTCATCGATTACGTTTGTTAGAACCACTGATGTACCAAAATTTTTACGAAAACCACACTGAGTACCACGAATAATATTGTTACTCATAAAAAAGTCATAAATGTGTTCGTACAAGCACGCTTTCAAATATTTTTGACAAAGCAGAAAGTATACTTATCACACGAAGTTCATTAAAACTTGATGGATTAGTTATTTTTGGTAATGGTTTTCCTATGGAGATTTTCCACTTGTCGGGAAAGTAGCTTGTTTCAATGGAACAGTTTATAATATGCGTTATATACTTATCTATGTAGGGACTACAATATTTTAACGATAAGTGCGAAATATAATCTATCCCCGTTGCATTACTTTTTATGTTGTTTGAAATTTTGTTTGTATTTGTTATTTCTGCTAATTTAAAGTTAAAGATTAAGTTATTTTTATAGGCATTGTTTCTAAAAAATTATTTTTTTTCACAACAGTTAAATTTATTTTGTAGAACAGCAGCAAAAAAGCTATTAATATCATTAGGTACTGATAAAGACCGGGGAATTTTATTATTTTTTGTAGAACAGATATTAAAACTTTTTAAAACTGACCACAGTTTTTTGGAGTTACCTTCAAAAGATTCTATGTATTCCTTTTTCTCTCTTCTTATTAACGATAAAGTACAATTTCTTAAATGTTTATAATCTACCCAGTCTGATTGAAGCTTTGATTTTTTGAATTTTTGCAGTGTTGGATCTCTTTGTTTCATAAATTCTGTGATTAGTGATTCTTTTATTGCTGCATGCTTACTAAACAATGTAAAAATTAGATTACTTAAAATAGTTATTTTATTATCAATATTATTCTCATATAATATATTATTCCACGGCAAACTTTGCATATCTGCTAGAAAATTATTCAGGAAAAAATTTTTAGAAGAACGATGTTTTATTTTTGGTGATTTCTTTTCTTTGAAACATTAAGATCCCAGTAAATCAATTTATGATCTGAAATATTATCCGCCGATAAAACCCCAGACCTAGCCACTATCGACAAGTCAGTGACAAATATCGCATCAAGCAGAGTACTAACCATTCCAGAAATGCGTGTAGGTTCACTAATGATCTGCGTAAGATTATAATTTTCAAAAAGGGGTACCAGTGGAATTTGAAGGTTGAATAAGTTGCAATTAAAATCTCCCAGACAAATAATTCCATCAACTAAAGGGTGAAGACAGGAAAATATGTTATCAAAATCAGGAATTTGATCATTAAAATTAAGCTTTGGTGGTCTGTAAAAAACACAAAAACCGTATTTTTTGTTATTAATTTATAATTTAAATATAAAGCACTCAAGTTGTACATTAGTTTCGAAATCCAAGTTTAACATTTGTACTGCAAATTCTGTCTTTACGTAGGCCGCTACTCCACCACCCCTACCCAGGCGGTAATTTCTAATAAATTTATAATTAGGGATATTAAAAATATTAGAATCGTCAACAGTTTTTAACCAAGTCACATTAAAATTAGTGAACAGAGATCGTACATCCAAGTGACCAATTTTAAAAGCATGGTTTTTTAATATAATCACAGTAACCAATATTTAAAGAAAGAAAACCAGTATAAGTACCAGAAATACATAAACAAATATATATATATATATATATATAACTTGAGACGTGGTCATTGTCGTCTAGACCAGTTAGGTGAAAAACTAAAGCTTCCGCCTTTTGTTGGATACTTCGACAAAATTTAAGCAAGAAGGGCTCTTTATACTTTTTTAATCTCTCTAGCTTTCAATGGTCTTTGCCATCATCATCATCAGGAGCTGTACTAACATTAAGAAAAATAGCAACAATTGTGCAAAATGAATTTAGATTAACTCACAGTAGTATGTGAGGATGTTGCTAAATGTTATTTATTTACGTTGAAGATGAGGAAAACACTGAAAGCCGGAAACATGGTACATTAGTCGAAATTATACAAACTACACACAGCTGTATGCTAAGAACAAATTAAAATAGATTAAAAATATTCAAAACGAAAGGTAAAACATTACATCATGAACCACTTGATGATTGCACAAAATGGTGGGCATAGAATCATGAGTAAGAAGAACCTTTGACAGATGGCATAAGGTTAGTAGTATCCGTGTAGATCGATGGAACGAAAATTCTTTTGTAAGGTGTGTGCTATGTTGCCAAATCACTTCAGATGGTGTTTGATTTTCAGGAGATATTGGGTAAGAATTTGTCAAAACGACCAGAGGCAGTTGATCTAAATATATTATTGATGACATATCCAATTGAATTAACAGTTATTATTTTATTTTAATGACAAACAAAAATTTATTCAAATTTGAATGGAATGGAACTTTTTGGTGGAATAGACCAAAAAACAGATTCCATTTATGGTTGTGAAAGGTCAAAATTTTTAGAGATGTGTAAGTGCTCCTACTTTTCGCAGTTCAGCAAATATGAGTAAATGACGCTCTGTCTTCTGATTGATACAGTTATCATTCATGAATATATATATAGGGTGACTTCGAAGTTGAGTCATTTATTTTAACAGTAAGTAGATCTGATCAAAAGAAATGTTTTTTTCCTTTACCATTTTTCTGGTAAAATTAAAGTAGCAAAGTTATAGCCCTTTGGAAGTTTGAGTACCGCCCTGTCTCAATAATAATATTATGTGCTCGTGTTTGGCAACAACGGATATAATCCGCCTTATCGGTTCATCGCATCGGAAACAAGAAAGCGAATGAATTTGGAACGATGTTTTTACAATTATTTTATTCAGTTGTATACAGTCAGTGTCAGTCGGTAACGCGTGAGTGAATAGTGGTGTCTGTTGCGTGGCTCAAACGAAATCATAAATGGCACATGCTTACGAAAATGCTGAACTTGTGGACATGATTCTTATTTACGCGGCATCACGGATTTATGCGGATCGGTTTCCCAATCGAGTGCAACCAACCCCGCGTGCGTTTGTTAATGTAGTACAAAGGGCTCGTGAATCAGGTGACTTAAGACCTCACAGGGGAGGGCATGCCGGTGCTCCAAGACCGCACGATTAAATACAGGTCCGCACTGAAATACTTGTCGGGAGGATACTTTATAAAACAAGGTAACATTTTTTTTTAATTATTTTTTATTTTTACACACCTATTTTGGTTTATCTTCCTTCTACAATCATTATCTGAAAATTAATGACTCAACTTCAAAGTCATATATATATATATATATATTCCAATTGGAGTTTAAATACAGATGCCACAAATATAAGGCCTATACCACGTATACAGTATGCAGATGTGTCTATTGCCCAGTTACGTTAATTTTTAAATACTTTAACACAAAAATATAACAGTATCATTTGGTATTTACAAATTAATATGTATTGCAAGCAAAAAGAGTAGAGGAAAAAATAGTCTTCTTAAGCAAGATAACAATACACAAATATGTGTTGAACAGATACAAAACAAAAGCCCTACAAACCGTTATAGAAATTATACAAAGAGCACTCACAGTTTATGGTTTATTGCTTGCTAATTACTTTTTGAATGACAGCCTCCTGTGATACACGATGAACTTCATTGTTATGTTTTACGTAAATGTTACCATTTAAAGCCCAATCATTTTTATATGAAAAGGCATTTATAGCACTATTAAGTAATAATAAACGCGTTTTTGTGAAATCCCCTTTTATAGACATACCAGGGTTTTGTAAGTTCTGTTTATCTTTCGGCACTGATAAACGCACCGAATCCGCACTGCAGGTGGCTTATTTCCGGGATTCTTAAACGGTACTCGGTGCCACTTTTTTATATCAGAATTTTGGAAGTTTATTTTTAACGTGTTCGTAAATAGGCGAATGACTCGTGACCGAATGTTTTCGTCTTTTTGGACATCTATTTCTCGTATACGTATATTCATGCTGCGCCCTGCCTGCTCCTGAGACTCCATACTTTTGCGCGGGCTATCGTTTTCCTTACGCAGCTCCTCTGTATTATTAGTGAGGGTCTTAATTTGTTGATTTTGAGAGTTGAGTTTCTCTTTAATCTTCCTCTCTACAGCAGATGTGACTTTTTCAATAATTTCTTGCAGACATTTCTCGTTAAATGTGCTGACAATAGCTGATTTTATTTCACGTATGTCTGTCGTTAACAAACCCATTACAAATGGCGATTGTATAGATGTTCGACGAAGAAAATTAGCAATTAACACAGAACGAATCACAATCCTGAGTCGGCCCTTAAACCACCCAAAGCAGGAGACACTAGTCCACTCACTTTACAACACAAGCAAATTTAACAAACGCCATCTACTACATCAAAATGCTCAAGTTTTTT